TTATTATTATTATTATTATTATTATTATTATTATTATTATTATTATTATTATTATTATTGATATCAGGTTGTTGTCTGCTCCTTGATGAGCTGCGCCCTTGCTGCCCCCTCCCAGCCTCACATCAACTCTGGGGTTGCCGTTGGACCTCTGACTGCTGCCTTTGGTGACCTCGTATCAACCGGCAGAGGCCTCCGTCCTCTCTCTCTTGAGGGATTTTCCGAGGACCTTAACCAGGACGGATTTGTTGATCCTATTGCTCAAGCTGTCCCCGTTGTCCATGCCGCTCCTGTTGCCACCTATGCTGCTGCTCCTGTTGTCCACGCTGCCCCTGTCGCCACCTATGCTGCTGCCCCAGCATTGACTTATGCTGCTTCCCCAGTTGTTCAGCACGTTGCCCACGCTGTCTACCATGTCCCCCAGGTTTAAGATTACAAAATATTCAGCAGCATTTTAACGAAAAAACACAAGTAATCTTGCTTTAATATTGAGATTTATGATAACAGTATTAAATTTCTTTCATTGGATTCAAGTTTCAACGTAATTTCTCTGAGTAAATTTTCAATTTGACTTTCATTGTTATTGTTAATTTAATTGATTTATTTATAGGTGAGCGTACACAGGCAAGTTCACACTCACACCACACACCATGTCATCAACCACGCCCCCGTCATTGGAGCCGCATTCGCTGCCCCCGTCCTCGCTGCCGCCCCGGTTGAGGATACTCCTGCTGTCGAGGTTGCCGCTGAGGCCACAGTCGAGGCTGCATAAACAGCTAATGAATCTTTAGTTAGAAAAGCTTGAACAAAGAAGTTTGATAATATTATTCTCATAGTCTTAACATTCTGGCCAGATGTGTCTTGGCAATCAAAACCAATAAAAAATAAAACCTATCATTGTATTTTAAAAGGAGATAATTTCAATAATCTGCAACATTTCTGCTTCCTTGTTCCGGATCTGTAAAAATATGCGGATCCACGGATGTTATAGCACAGAAACTTAGCTTTTCCACAAACTCAAATTTTCTAATCACTACATCTTGGCAACCCAATGTCTTATTTCTAATGATAAATATGTTTGATAAAAAAATCAAGTTTGAAATTTCAAAGATTTACGTTATCAGTCTGCAAATATATGGGGGATTAGAAAATCACGGGGTTTGTGACAAAGGCTCAATTCCTTTGCGTTGGGTTCCATCATTTTCCCAAACACCAAAATATCAAAACGCTAAAAAAAGTTTCATGAAAAATAGAAAAATTTCAAATGAGAGAAGCAAAATAATTTTTCCCGTCCTCAAAATCTTAAAATATGTGCAACGGAACGAAGACTTTAACGGTAGCCTAATCTTTAGTAAGATACTCCAGTGGCCGAATTTAAAGAATTTGAGCGGCGGTTTAAATTTAAGCCGCGGTTTAAATATGGTTGGTTCCACTTAAAATTTTATCAAATGTTTCAAGATTTAAGCCGGCGCTTAATTTAAACCGGGTTTTGGCGGATTTAAACCGTCGGCTCAAATTCATTAAATTCCATTTCTGTTCCTTCTTTATGTTTAAGAAAAATCCTGTAGAAAACAAAGTTTGATTACACAATGACTAAATTTGGATTCGATCAGAGCTGAGCTGGGAACTTTAAAATGGTGGATATCGGGATTAATGCTTGATCCTCTCTTTTTGATAATCTCCAGATTAACATAATCTTGCAAGATTATCTTAAAAGTGTATAAAAACGATAAAATTCAAATTAATAATTAATCATCTGAGAAACTGTAGCAGCCAATCAGAGAAAAGCGGGCAACCAATGAGAGAACAGAAATATTCTCATTGGAGAAAACAATTAACGGATATCCAAGGAGAGAGAAAAAGAGTGGATTAGGACAAAAATGAAAAGTTTCCACAGTGGATATTCGGATCAAGAAGTCAGGATTAAAGTTTATCTATTCTAAAGTTTTCAGCTCAGGGGTATTAGAACTAAACCTGGCTAAAGCGGTAAAGCAATGAAACTATTAAAAACAATCTCATCAAATCATGTTCATTGGACTATTTAAGATATAACTTGAGCATAAGAGTAGACTTTTTATTCCGAGTTAACTGGTTCTCACTGTAGGATATTTCATTTATCAATTATCAGTCAAATATTCAAAGGGTACCTTAATGAATCGGACGTGGCAATCTACAAATGGAGGGTCATTCGAAATTACTGTCACAGTCCCTTTAATAAGAACCCCTCTAAAAGGAGAATTAATCTAATTCATGTTCTCCATCCAACCTAATTTAAGATGGTAGGAATTTTGTGGTTCAAACTATGCCTTTAAATCCATTTTAGTGATAATTTTTCATTCTGTTTAATAAATTTTTCATTTTATTGTTCTTTCTACAGAATTATTTCAAGTTTTAGTTGTATTGTCACGTGATATTCCCCAATATCTTTTAATAAAAGGGATTTATGTTTTTAATTATATGTCTATTGAGGAGTTTGTCCTTTAGGAGTTTGTCCATTAGGAGTTTATCCATTAGGAGTTTATCCATTTAGGAGTTTGTCCTTTAGGAGTTTGTCCATTAGGAGTTTATCCATTAGGAGTTTATCTATTTAGGAGTTTGTCTTTTTAAGAGTTTGTCTATTTAGAAGTTTGTCTATTTAGGATTTTGTCTATTTAGGAGTTTGTCTATTTAGGAGTTTGTCTTTTTAACAGTTTGTCTATTTAGGAGTTTGTCTATTTAGGAGTTTGTCTATTTAGAAGTTTGTCTATTTAGGAGTTTGTCTTTTTAACAGTTTGTATATTTAGGAGTTTGTCTATTTAGGAGTTTGTCTATTTAGGAGTTTGTCTTTTTAACAGTTTGTCTATTTAGGAGTTTGTATATTTAGGAGTTTGTCTATTTAGGAGTTTGTCTATTTAGAAGTTTGACTTTTTAGGAGTTTGTCTATTTAGAAATTTGTTTATTTGGGAGTTTGTTTATTTAGGAGTTTGTCTACTCAGGAGTTTGTCTATTTAGGAGTTTGTCTATTTAGGAGTTTGTCCTTTAGAGTTTGACTTACAGAGGATTGTCTGCCAGGAGTTTGTGTTTCAGGGGATTGTCTTTAAGGAGTTTTTTTTGAGTTGTCCATGTTTTTCTGACAACATCATCATATTTCTGAACTTTAAAATAACACTGCATGACTACACCCTTGTTTTAGTCTGTTACAGTTTTTTATAGTTTGCAAAAGTCCTAATAGTCCAATATAATCCTTATTGTTTCTTAATATTCTTCTATAAAAAAATATGAAGTTTCTTAGGTTCTCCGTTTTTTTGTAACCTTAAAATGTTGTAACTTGTAAACCCATAAGAAGTAACATAAAACAGTTTTTTTTTGTGAGAGGATAAATTAAAAATGACTGACTTTCTAAGTTAAAAAAGAGAACATTGGCAAAATTTGATCAAAAATGGTGAACAATCATGATCATGACAAAGTCGAGTAATTGGTTCAGTATAAGTACTGTTTACTGATTTCGGGAGTTATCTCTAATAGATAGATAGATAGATGTTACCACGCAGTTGCAATTTTTATTGGTTCTGAATCGTGATTCGTGACCAGCACGTGACTGAACCCGATTGTATCAGACGCTACCGGAGAGATGAAACAACGGTGAATAAATCTTTAAACATGTATTTTATTTGTACATAAGGGTAAATATCATATTTTTCCAAATTTTTGGTTTCGGGCTGAAGTTTATTTTAAACTCCAAAATGGTATTTTTTAGAATCCAATAAAATTTTACTCTTTTTCAAAGAATATTTTGATACTTGGATTACATACAATAGATAAAAGAAAAAGAGGAAACTAATGTTTTAATGTAGCATTTTTTAAATAACATTTTTTCCCGTGAAAAGCAATTAGACAAAGCAATCAGATGTTGTAAGGGGACAGAAGACTGAAAATGTAAAAGGTTTTTATCCAAAAAATATGAGATCTTTAATTTCTGTTTTATTTTACATTCTCTATGAAAGGATGTCTTAACAAATTTATTACAAATTTATTGTACACGCCAGATTATTGGACAAATTATTGAACTGAATTGTTAAACTGATTTCTTGCATTGAGAAAAATTCTCTAATGCAAAGTAAAGTGATATAGCATGGCGAGAGCAGATGCATTTTCGTTAACTCGTAGAAAATAGTAAATCCATTGTTAGAGATCGAGATGGGCATCGGTTTGAGGTTCATTTTTAAGAATTTAAAGTTTTAAAGACTTTCAGAGGTTTCACGAGAATCTGGGATGTAAATCTTACCTTAAAATTCCTCACTAGAAAAAATTTCTTTTTTTTTACAACACGCACAATTTTTACTCTGATAGCAAAATCACTTTTTGTTTTTTTTTCCGTTTGATCAAAAAGATCTTTAATCAGCGAAAAAATTTCACATAATATAATAAAAGTAAACTTATCGAGAATACAATTTTGCATTGTCGGTAATAACTCAAATTTTTGTGAAGCAATGTAAACGTCTAAAAACGGACCTCAAAACGAACCTCAAAACTAATTTCAAAACAAACCTTAAAACAAACCTCAAAATGAACCTCAAAACGAACTTTAAAAACTAACCTTAAAACGAACTTAAAAACGAACCTCAAAACGAACCTCAAAACAAACCTCAAAATATGCCTCAAAACAAACTTAAAAACAAACTTTAAAACGAACCTCAAAACCAACCTTAAAACGAACCTCAAAGCAAACCTCAAAACGAACCTTAAAAACGAACCTTATAATGAACCTCGAAACGAACCTCAAAACGAACCTCAAAACGAACCTCAAAACGAACCTCAAAACAAACCTCAAAACGAACCTCAAAACCAACCTTAAAACGAACCTCAAAGCAAACCTCAAAACGAACCTTATAACGAACCTCAAAACAAACCTCAAAACAAACCTCAAAACCAGCCTCCAAACCAACTTCAAAACGAACCTCAAAACGATGCCTATCACTAGTTAGAGACAGTGCTATTGAAAATGCATTCACTCCATAGCAATATAAACTCTTTGTATTATAAAATGTTCTCAATGAAGAGTTGGCACAAAAGTTGTTTAAGAACATCCACATTCCTCCACAATCATGTCAGGGATTACCACGCTCTCAATATCATAGAAGTCCATGCCCATGGACCCCACACTGCTGCTGGTCGTGTTTAGGAACAGCAGCTCCAAGGGGACAAATGATCTTGGAGAACAGCAGGGTTGGTTTATTGGTACAGGGCTTGAGATGTGTAACCTCTGAAATGATTATTAGAATTAAAATCAAAAAAGGTTGTTATGGTGTTGTGTTTATGATAATAAATAGAAAGATAGTTATATTTTTTACATGTTCTTTATAAATAAAAACAGTTAGCTTTTTTAAATAGATTATAGATGCAATCATACAGGGTTGTTCTATCTCTATAGACTTTTAGATCGATTGCTGATTGATTGATTGGTTGATGGAGTATTTAACATGATAAGTATACTTACATAGAGCAGTTGTGCTGCTGCATTTGTGAATAAACTTGGGAGCACCATGTTGGGGTCACATGATCCGCTGAAAGAAAAAACACTTTACAATAAAAGAAGCATTTGAAAAGTATGTTCTATCATAAAATGAATTTGCACCCGGCCATGCAGTGGGAGTAAACTTACTTGCAGTAGTTGAAGTGAATTATTCTTGGTGCTATGATGGTTGTCCAGCCTAGAGAGTGGAGATCAACTTCAATTGTGTTAAGACAGCAGCTTCTAATACCGAGTTAACATATGAAATTATTATCAAAAGATCCTTTGATAAACTGTACATTATCAGCATCAAAAAGTTTCATTTTTGTTTCTTTTCAATAATTACGAATGTATCATCCCGATTAAATGAATCATTTTTATCCTTATTCAGTTTTATTTAAAGATTTGTTATAGCACAGTAAACCAAATTATTCCAAATTAAGGAATGTAAAGATTGTTGAATTTGTATTAGAAATTCGATTTTTTGTAATTTAATCATAAGACTTCGTTGTCCGAATTTATTACATTTTTCCTTACTTATTCTTAATAAGAATGACATAAACAGTAATTGTTTAAACTTTGTTTTGCATTTAATTTTTCCTTTAAAAAACAATACTAAATAAAGAATTTTTTAAAAAAATTATTCATAAATTAGGGATAGTTTATTAAAAAATGTTTAGGGGTTCCTTTTCCGGAAATTCTTAATGCTGTTTCCGTTCTGAATTTTTTTCAGATTAAAAATCAATGTTTTGTATGAGAAAAGATATTATCTTTGTTAGCAGTGGCATACACAGGAATTTTTCTAGAGGTATGAGCCCCAATAGCCCCCCCCCACCTCTGTGGTTGTGTATCAAAAATGCAAATGATTGATTATGATATAAAACTTTAAGCTCTTTAAAGTTTTTAAGACTTGAGATTTGATAATATCTATTTTCATTTGTTGTGTTGTCTTTCAGGATTTGCGTTGAATTTTGGAACAGTAAATATAAATTGTAAGTGATAATACTTAAAGAAAGGTTAGCTATCCATATTTTTACTTTTTAAATTCATAGGACATTTTTGATAGGTTAAAATGTCTTCTTTTAACAAAGTTGTCTAGGCATGAGACAGCTAGAGATGGGCAGAGTTTTTCGAGTGAACGAACGATGGACAAAACAAAATGGATCGTTTGGAGAAATGAAAAAATTGCCGTTTTTTAAAAACGAACAAAAAAACGTACTTGAAAAAATTTCGTTTTTTGAACAAACGAATTTTTCAAAAGATTTGAAAAAAATATGGTTATTTTGCTGAACTAACAATTTTTTTTTAACAAAATAAAAATATCTTTTTTAACTGAATCAACGAATTTTAATTAAATTTTGAAATTTTTATTCCAAACGAACGATTTTATTGAACAAATGATTTACTGAACTAACGATTTTACTGAACAAACGAATAAGATGGAAAATAAACGATAATTTTGAGAACAAGCAAAATCAATTTTTTTAAAACAATATTAATAAAATATCAAAATGGGGAAAGAACGGAATTTTAATAAAATTTGAACGTTCCAATCACTAGAGACAGCTAGTTAATTTTCTATACCTGTGATTTGGTGAATCGCTGCAGATGTTTGAGAACTCTGATCTTTTATCCATGATTCTGTAGTGTTTCTCTTGAGCCTGTTGTACTGTCAGCTCCAGTTTTGATGTTCTTCCTACCCACGTCTTTGGCAGATCTTCTATCTTTTCTGCAAGGGACTGGAGAAAATATTCCAGTCTAAAAAATAATACGGAATTAACCGAGAAATACAAAACAGTTGAAGCTATTAAACAGGGTAAATAGCCACAGTTCATTAAATGTTTTTATGGCATATAAAAATTACAATTAAAGATAGGCAGCAAGTACTTACAACCCTGTGAAGTGAAAAATTCATAACGGCACTGAGGGTACTAGTAAAATTGCCTCTGTCAATAGAAGTGTGCTATAGTACAAGAAAAATTCAGTATTGTACTTTAGCATCTGTGCCAGCACAAAATAAATTCAGTAACATACTAGTATCTATGCCAGTACAATACAAATTCAGTAAAGTACTAGAATTGTTGCCAGCACAAGACAAATTCAGTATTGTACTTGTATCTGTGCCAGTACAAGAAAAATTCAGTAAGGTACTAGAATCTGTGCCAGTACAAGACAAATTTAGTAAGGTACTAGAATCTGTGCAAGTACAAGACAAATTCAGTCAGGTACTTAGAACCTGTACCAGTACAAGGCAAATTCAGTTAGGTATAATTTCATCTGTTAGGAGAAGCCATGACAGTTTAGGAACAATTCAGTAATTTACAATTTTAATTATTGCTAAAGCAGTACTGCAGAAGAAGTAAAATTCAATACGGTACAACTTGGCTTGTAACTTTAGAAGCGGTATGACGGTACGAGGAGCGGGATTGTACTGCAACTACCTTAATGTGTCCAGGTCTGCGTCTGTAATCTTTTCTTGTTTCACCAGCTGATGGAGTTCATTCTCTGGATTATCCCGCTGCAACATCCCGACTTTTTTGTTGAGTTGTATTTTAGGAACAGCAGTGGATCCTCGCAACATACTGTTTACATTCAAACCATGTTTTCATGTTCAAATGTTTCGTTGCATCAAATTGAGATATTAAATAAGAGGAGTTATTGGGGTTACTTACGCCCCTGATCCATACAGTTGGTTAATAGTTTTGTATGTCTCTTTAATAAACTGTATTATATATTCAAGCCTTTTGCAGTTTATTTCGCTAAATAAAAATTTTCATTTAAATATATTTTGTTTTGAAATCAATTTTACTATAATATTACTACCAAGTGATGTCTCTCTTTTTGTTATCTATGGAACTTGATAATATGTAAAATATGAAAAAGTATGAAAAAGTATGAAAAAACTTGCCATTTACAGTAGTTTTTTTTATTTTTTTCCCAACATCTTTGCATAAATGAGCCCTCGTCCACCCCTGATTATTCTAAAGATAAACATAAATGGTTTAATTAACAATTGTTAACAAATAACATCCATTTTACTTTTCTATTTTCGTTAAAGATCTTCCCATTTATCGGAGCTTATCGTCTATTTTATAAAATAAGTTCTGCTGTATGAACTAATTTGCTATCAGAACTTTCACAAAAATAGAAAAGTAAATTAGATTCTGATTGTTAGCAATTTAATCATTTCTGTTCTTTTTCACTCATTTAAACTCAGAACGTACACATTGTCAGTAATGTAGGCCGGATAATAACAGGGGACCCCAGGAAAACAGAGTTTTCTTTTTATATATCTATACATCTATACCAGTGGCGTAAATAAGGGGAGTTATTGGGGTTACTTACGCCCCTGATCCATACAATTGGTTAATAGTTTTGTATGTCTCTTTAATAAACTGTATTATATATTCAAGCCTTTTCCAGTTTATTTCGCTAAATAAAAATTTTCATTTAAATATATTTCGCTTTGTAATCAATTTTACTATAATATTACTACCAAGTGATGTCTCTTTTTGTTATCTATGGAACTTGACAAATTATGGAAGAAGATTTATTCGTCAACTGTCATGATTCATATATAGTGTGTGTCACGGAACCAAACTGTAAATTTAGCTTGAAAAATTGCTTATCTTCTGAATTGAAGCTAATTACTTGCTAATTTTGTAATCCTTTGATTTTTGTAACCTGATGTTGTAATTTATAGTAGATATTTTAAGATATAAATTTGAAATTCTGTTATGTTTTGAACATCAGCAGGTTGTTAAGATATATGGGACATGGATTAGAAAATTTTTGTTTAAAGTTTTTGCAAGAAAAACTGTACTTTTATTCAAAAAAAATTATAGATATTTTGCAAAACAAATTTTAACAAAAGGTTGAATAAAGGTGTAAACTAGTGATCTATGAGATTGCACGTTTTTTGCATATAATTGTAATGCTTAAAAAGGAAATGATTACTTGCCAATTACTCATTTTAAACTTTATATGTCTAGACCTACAAAAAAAGTATCAGCATAAGTTGTCGAGGTAAAAACAAAGGCTAAAGTCCAGGCTTTAAACAAATTTGATGACTAAGTTTCAGTGTTTTTTTTTATCTCAGTGGGCATAAACCTTTGAGATTTCAATCATATGCATTCGACTAGAAGTAGTCAACATTTGAAATATCAAAGTTTAACACCACACAAAGATTCAGACATCTATAAAAACTATGCATAAATTATCAATTTTCAAATTTCTATTTTCTATGTCATTAATTTTTGTCCCTCAATTTGAAGATTTTGTAACTAAAAGTATAACCAATTGAGAGCAGCAGAATCATAATTTATTTTTATATAAATTTTTTAAATAAACCTTCAGTTGTCTCATGTCTGTCCTGAAACCAAGGGCGTATATAGAAATAAATCTAGGGAGTGGGGGGGGGAGGTAAAATTTGCCCCCCCCCCTAAGAGCTTAAAGGGGGGGGCAAAATTTGAACCCTAAATTCAAAACATTTTGCTTCTTGGATACTTTAAAGGTACACATACGCTATAATACGGTCCAATTACAAGAACTACTTTATCTCTCTATCAAACAAAACTAGCAAAAAGAAAAACAGCAAATTAATTTTTTTCATACTCTTCACTCTTCAGTTTCAGATTTGAAAAATGTGATAGCCNGCTATCCCCCCCCTTTACAGGTCTAGGTAGGGGCACTGCCCCATCTTCCCCCCCCCCTGTATACGCCCATGCCTGAAACTGTCCTCAAATTGCAATAACACGTTTTGTGCAATAATTTCGGTTTTTGTGCAAATTACGCCAAATTTTTTCGCAAAAAATATGGCCATTTCGAGGAAACCTTAATTACACCACTAAGTTGTTACGATACAGGGATTAGATTAAAAAATTCATTACAGTTTTTTCCAGAAAACTGTATATTTGTTAAAATGTTGTAGTAGATATTATAAGATATAAAATTTGTTATATTAATTAATCAAATTTTTAACACAAATAGGTTGTTCAGATTTAGGGATTAGAAAAATATAGTTTATAGTTTTTTTTGTCCAGAAAAACTGTTTAATTAAATGCTGCAGTAGATATTTTAAGATTTTATTTATTAATCAAATATTTAATACCAAGGTTGTTCCGATATAGGGATTAGATAGAAAATTATAGTTTATAGATTTTACCAGAAAAGTTGTTTTATTAATGTTGCAGTAGATATTTTAAGATTCTATTTATTAATAAAATATTTAATACCAAGGTTATTAAGATTAGATAGATAATTGTCATTAAAGTGCAATTCACTTAAAAAAGTAAGACTATTTAGAGTTTAAATTCCGTTTAATTTTATCCTTGCGTTTATCCTTGGAACGTTTTTTAAAATAAAAATAAGAAAATAAAGTTTTTTTCATTTAATTTTTATGTTTAAGGAAATAATTATTAACTTTTTTATCTTTAAAATTCATGGTTTGATTCCTGATAATGGCTGCTAGATAAAGAGAGGCTACGGGCATTATAAAAGTTTGACTGATACATATCAGATCCTTCTCTTCTCTTTTATATACGTAGCCTCGGTTCATGTATTTATCTCCACATCTCTCCGTACTAGATCTCGACCTCCATGCACATACCACCCCCATCAAATGGTGCTATGGTAACCCACCCCATCAGATGGTGCTATGGGAATCGACCCATGTGACCACCCTATCTCCATCAAATGGTGCTATGGTAACCCACCCCATCAGATGGTGCTATAGTAATCGACCTATGTGACCACCCAATCTCCATCAAATGGTGCTATGGTAACCCACCCCATCAGATGGTGCTATAGTAATCGACCTATGTGACCTCACAATCCCCATCAAATGGTGACATGGTAAGCTACCATGGTAGCTTATGCATAGATATACAAGAATCTTGTAATCTATGTAAGCTACCTATAAAGGGATCAACCCTGATGGTGCTATGATATACCGACCTATGGGATCAATCCGCCCCCAACAGATGGTGCCGTGGTAACTGACCATGTGATCATCTCATCCCCGATGGTGCTATTTTTGGTGCTTCGGGATCAAATCACCCCCATCAGATTGTGCTGTGGTAACCGACCTATGGGATTAGCCACCCCCGTGAGATGGTGCTGTGGTAACCGACCTAAGTAAACACCCAATTCTCAGGAAATGGTTCTATGGTAACCAACCTATGGGACGGGTGGTCCCATAGGTTGGTCACGTCACACCAACAGTCTTGTTTGGGCGGAGTTATAAATCCTGACTGGGTCAATATTTTGTACTGTCATTTAATTACATCTTGATTCTAGTTGTACCGGGCGGGAAATATGATCACGTATTACAGGGAAAAACAACCAATCAAACTTGGCACCATTCAAATATTCATGTACGGGCATGGGGAGGCTTTTTTTTCCAAATTATTTTATTGAAGACGACCAAACTTTGTCATTGTGAACCGTTTGCGGCACTAAAATGTATCGCTGCGCAGTTAGGTTTTCCCTGCACGTGGAGCTATATTGTGTATGGGGATTGAATCTAATTCTAATTGTGACCTATTATACACTGCGTGTGCAAGATTTATTTGTTGTGTGTAATTTTCCGCAAACTGTAAATGTCCTATGACAATTTTTATCGACAAGTGATATTTTGTTTTCCTACATTCCGTAAAGTTTCTTAAATAGAGTTTCAACGTTTAAACAACCCAATACTATTTTAACATTGTAAATTCAAATGAATACATTTTTTGCATTTTTCGGCCTCCGATTAATTGTAATAATTGTGCGGTAGTTTCCCAATGTACGATTTTTGGACCCTGACTCGACTATCAATTTTGTACATGGATCTTATGTGTAACACATGGGGTCCGACGTAGTTAATTAGTTTTGGACCCCATGTTATTTATAA